CTGGGTCTTGGATACACTTTGAGGTGACTTTTGTGCAGGGTGAGAGATAGGGATCTAATTTTATTCTTCTACATGTGGATATCCAGTTTTCCCAGTACTATTTGTTAAAAAGGCTATCTTTCTCCAGTGTATGTTTTTGGTACCTGTGTCAAGGATCGGAGGACTGTATCTATGTGGATTTGTCTCTGTATCCTCTATTATGTCCCATTGGTCTATGTGTCTGTTTTTATGCCATAAAACTTATAGTTTTGTTACTATAGCTTTTGTTACTATAGATCTGTAGTATAATTTGAAAACTGGCATTGTGATGCCTCCATCATTGCTTTTTGGTTTAGAATTTCTTTGGCTATTCTTGGTCTTTTGTTCATTCAAATGAATCTTAGGACTGCATTTTTTTCCTAGTTCTCTGAGAAATGTCTTTGATATTTTGATGGAGATTGTACTGAAGCTGTATATTGCTTTTGGTAATATGACCATTTTTTAACAACTTTAATTCTGCCTATCCCTGAACATGGGATGTCTTTCAATCTTCTGAGGTTTTTTCTTTTTTTCTTTTTTTAGTTTTTTTTCCAATTTCTTTCTTCAGTGTTCTGAAGTTTTTATTATAGAGGTCTTTTACCTCCTAGGTTAGATTTATTCTCAAGTATTTTATTTTTTAAGGTTATTGTGAGTAAGATTGTTTTCTTGCTTTCATTCTCAGCTGTTTCTTTGTTGGTCTACAGAACAGTTTTGATTTTTGTATTTGATTTTGTACTTTGTTGAATTTATTAATTTTAATAGTCTTATGGTGAAGCTTTTTGGATCTTCTAAGTGCAGGATCATATAATCTGCAAACAGTGATTGTTTGAATTCTTCCTTTCATAGTTTTAACTGATTTATTTCCTTCTCCTGCCTAATTTCTCTGGCTAGAATTTCCAGTACTGTATTGAATAGAGTAAGAGCAGACATCCTTGTCTTGTTACAGATTTCAAAGAAAATATTTTCTGTTTTACCCAAGCACTATGATGTTGGGGCTTTGGGTTTGTCATATATAACCTTAATGATGTTGAGATAAGTTCCTTTATAGTTTCTTGGGTGTTTTTTATTATGCATAGGTGCTGAATTTTGCCAAAGAACTTTCTTTTCATATATTGAGATGACAGTATGTTTTTGTCTTCAATTCTATTTGTGATGAGTTACACATATTCATTTGTGTATGTTAAGCCATTCTTGCATTTTTGAAAAGAAACCAACTTGGTTATGATTTACAATATTCTTAATATGTTGTTGAATATGATTTGTTATCTCCTAGGAAGTGAAGAAGCCTGAGATCATGAAACTGCAGGTGGAACATCACACTTTTTTTTATTAAGGATTTTTGCAACTAACTTCATCCACAGATATTGGTCTATAGTTTTCTTTCCTTGATGTGTCCTTATCTGGTTTTGGTATCAAGGTTATACTGGCTTCACAGAATGAATTTGGAAGTATTCCACCACTTTTTATTTCATGGAATAATTTGAAGGGCATTGATATTGGTCTTTAAAGCTCTAGTAGAATTCAGTTGAGAGTTCATCTGGTTCTCAGTTTTTATTTTGGGGAGTTTTTTTTTTTATCACTGCTTCTGTCTCATTGCTTGTTATTGGTCTGTTTAAATGTTGGCAGGTCTTATGTGTCTAGGATTGTATCCATTTTTTTTCACATTTTCCAATTATTGGAGTATAAGTTTTCAAATTTGGCCCCTAATGATTTTCTGTATTTCAATGATGTCTGTCATAATTTCTCCCTTTTCATCTCTAATTTCATTAATTTTGGTTTTCTTTCTTTTGGTTAGTTTGAGTAAGGGCTTATCTTGCTTCTTTATCTTCTCAAAAAGCCAACTAATCAAACAAACCGTATTATTTATTTATATTTCAAAAGATTGTGGTACACATATTCTGCAGAACTTGCTTTGGGAAACTAAACTAGATATGTAGCTAAACCTAGTTCCACAGAGGAGAAATTGAAGAGATTTAAAGATGCAAACTCTCCTCCCTGACAACTGTACTCACTCCTACACACAGAAATCTTCTAGGCAGTGAAGAAGTATGAGATTATGAAGCTGCAGGTGGAACATTACACTTTCATGTTGGTCAAACACTACAACAAAATACCCAAGCACAAATCAACTTGGAAAGAGAAATGGTTATTTCGGCTCACAGTTTTGGAGGTCACAGTCCATGACTATTGTTCCTGGCCTGTAGTTGAGACAACACATCATGGCAGGAAGTGTGTGGTGAAACAAACCCCTTACCTCATGCTTAGAAGCAAAAGAGAGCAAAGAGGGGGATGGAGACCTATTTTTCCCTTCAAGGGTATGCCCTCCATAATCTGAAGATATCCCAGTAGCCTCTTTTTTTTGTGAAGTACAATATGGTTTTTAGATTTTATTTTTTTCAAAATAAGCAGTAATTTGAACAGAGAGTACAAAAATATAACATCATTCAAATCTTATGAAGATTAAAAAGCTCACCATTATTTTTTACAAATTCTTTTTTAAAGGAAAGTATTTTTCTTTTTTTAATTTTTTTTATTGGTTGTTCAAAACATTACAAAGCTCTTGACATATCATATTTCATACATTAGATTCAAGTGGGTTATGAACTCCCATTTTTACCCCAAATACAGATTGCAGAATCACATTGGTTACACATCCACATTTTTACATAATGCCATATTAGTAACTATTGTATTCTGCTACCTTTCCTATCCTCTACTATACCCCTCCCCTCCCCTCCCATCTTCTCTCTCTACCCCATCTACTGTAATTCATTTCTGTCCTTGTTTTTTTTCCCCATTCCCCTCACAACCTCTTATATGTAATTTTGTATGACAATGAGGGTCTCCTTCCATTTCCATGCAATTTCCCTTTTCTCTCCCTTTCCCTCCCACCTCGTGTCTCTGTTTAATGTTAATCTTTTCCTCCTGCTCTTCTTCCCTGCTCTGTTCTTAGTTGCTCTCATTATATCAAATAAGACATTTGGCATTTGTTTCTTAGGGACTGGATAGCTTCACTTAGCATAATCTGCTCTAGTGCCATCCATTTCCCTGCAAATTCCATGATTTCATCATTTTTTAATGCTGTGTAGTACTCCATTGTGTACAAATGCCACATTTTTTTAATCCATTCATCTATTGAAGGGCATCTGGGTTGGTTCCACAGTCTAGCTATTGTGAATTGTGCTGCTATGAACATCGATGTGGCAGTATCCCTGTAGTACACTCTTTTAAGGTCTTCAGGGAATAGTCCGAGAAGGGCGATAGCTGGGTCAAATGGTGGTTCCATTCCCAGCTTTCCCAGGAATCTCCATACTGCTTTCCAAATTGGCCGCACCAATGTGCAGTCCCAGTATTTTTCTTTAAAGATGGATACAATATCTTTATCTTATTTATTTTTATGTAATGGTGAGGATCGAACCCAGTGCCTCACATGTGTGCGGCAAGCACTGTTATGCTGAGCTATAACCCCAGCTCATTTTTACAAATTCTGAAGGAAAAAGTAAGTTTGAAATAGCAAACTACAGAAATAATGTTTAAGCTACTCTTTAGTTTTCAAGACCCTATTACTGACTTTGGCAAGTTTTATGCCAAAAACAATGATAGTAGCATTCACAGTGCATAATTTATCATTTTACAAGTTTTTGTAAAATGGGGATTTGACCCAGGGCTGCATGGATGCTACGTGGTAAACTAACAGTGAGCTATACCTCAGCTCCTAATATTAACTTTATTTCCCACTGAGCCAACACAGTTTATTACTGAACTGCACTTTCAATTTCACACAGACTATTTAAAGGGCTGCAACAAGTGGGGGAGGGAGGAGGAACAGGTGCCCCTCAGTAGCCAAGACCCCTGGAACAGGTTTCCTGGACCAGGGCAGGGGAAGGAGCATTAAACCGCCAATCTCCAGGCACCATCTCTCCACTTGCACACTCACAGAAAGTCAGCAGTTCCTCATCATGAATACACACATGCTTAACAAAAACAGAATATCACCTTCATAAGGAATAAAAGCTGTTCTGGAATATGTACGGCAGAGAGCCTGGAGTGACCAGTGCTGTGCTGAGACCCGCAGGGATGAGACAGGACAAGGCCGGAGCCGTGGGAGGCCTGAGGGGTCTTGAACAGGCCACTTTGACCTTGGCAGCCCTGATGCCCAGGCTGGACAGTGGGGAAATATCTACCTGGTCAGGCAAGAGCCCTCCACTTGGCTCCCACCTATTGGCCTGTGCACCAAGGTCTACTTTCTGGTAGGGAAGACCCCAGGGCTCCTACTGCTGCTTCCTATATCTCCCCTTTTACTCTGGAGTAAGGCTCCTGATTCCCTGTACCTGATGGACAGCGGTCCAACACAATGATGCCACAGGATGATCTTGCAGGAAGTGAGGCAGCTGAGGCCATAAGTAGCTCTGGGGCAACTGTCTTGGGCCAAGGTGGTCACTCAGGCATGGTCCTGGAGGGGAAGGGACTAGGGTGGTGCTAAACTGCAAGGGTCATGCTGGCTTTTGCATGGGGTACTTCCTGCAGCTATATTCCCCTCTCTCCAAGGTGGGACTAGACTCTAGGCAGAGGCCTCTGGAAAACATTCACACTAGGAGTGGGGACTTTGTCCAGGCCAGTGGTGAGGAGGAAGTCCTGATCCTGGCTTCTTTATACCAAGCAGGCTGAATTCCTAATTAGTCAAAAGTGACCTCTACATGGTTCTTGTGGGTAGAGATAGAAGGAAGAGGGGCCCAGGTCTAGAGAGGGATTGGGTAATGATAATCAACTCAGATAACTGAGATATGCGGGAAGTGGGTGTCACAGAAGTGTAGTAGTTCTAGCAAACTAACTGCAGGGAACCAGGTCTTAGGTCCAAGCCAGTGAAGGATGGTGGGCATGGATGTATGTAATGAATGGTTCTCCTAGTGGCAATGGTGGCTGGACAGAGGGATGTGGTGGGGCAGGGTAGGAGGGAGGGTGAGTGGGTGGTCAGGGTCTGGTCATCTCCGACTGAACAGCCAGCCCAGCAGAACCACGCCAGCCACAATCATGCCCATCAGGAAACAAAGGTTGAAGTGCTCCTGGCCCTTCCAGCTATTCACTGCCACATTGTTCCCATGGAGTTCCACAAAAGTGTCCCAGCCACCGTTGTCCTGGATCCAAGTCTCTAGGTGATCAATCAGGTAAGTGGCCATGTCCAACTTGGGATCTGACTCACCAGTGCCTGCATCTCCTTGTCTATGTTTTCCACACACAGTGTTCCTCCAAAGGAGAAAAAGGCCACAATGCGACCCCAGCTTACCTCATCCCGGAAGAGTTCATTCACTGCCTGTTCAAAGGTCTGATGTGCTGTCTCCAGGGTGAGGTGGAGCTTGGACGCCATGTCACTGAATGCCTGCTGGTACCGCAGTTCAGACTTTTCACCTGCCTCCCTCAGCACTTGCTTCACTGCTGCCATGGGGATCGCCTCTGGGGCATCCAAACTCCTGTTATGGCCAGGAGCTCCACTCTCCATGGGGCTGTCCACCAGATGCCAAGATGGGTTGCCATTGATGGCATCCCAGAAGCCTCTGACCTTAAAGGTTTCACCAACTCCCAATGACCTTACCCAAGGGACCAAACCTTTAACACATCAGCCTTTGGGGGACATTAAAGATCCAAACAATTGCAACTTTCTCATTCCATTTTCTTATGGTTCGCTTTAATTTAGGAAATCTGGGTGTTACTGAGAGACCCAAACAAAACAAAACAAAACAAAAAACCACAAAAAAATGAAATTTGATTTTGATAGTAAAATACTCATTTGTTTAACTCAATAAATATTTACTAATTTTCCAGTATTTTCCACTATTCACTAGGAATTCAGCGACACATTTTCTATAGTCAGATTATTACACTGAGGACAATTTGCCAGTGGAGAGGACAGGAACCAGTGTGCTGAGTTTAGTTAGATCTAGGTAAGTCTCTGAAACATAGATATTGGCCTGCCTAGTGCTAGAAAGCTGGCAGGGTGTTAGATATATTTTTATTTTCCTATTATACCATATTACAATAGAAACAGAATTTCACATAGAAAAATTGCTATCCATTTCCCTCACTCCAATTTTCCATCTTTTTCTTTGGTGAACTGATTTACTTCAGATTTCAAATAGAGTAGTAAACCTAACACTCCCCCTCTCCCCCATGTGGATCATACCCAGGGACTTTCATGTGTTAGGCAAGCACGTTTCCACTGAACTTCACCCCTGCCCAGCCGTAGGTTTCTTTATCATGGAATTGGTCTATGTGACTTCTTTTGTCCAAGGAGTCAGCTTTTATCCTTTTACATATAATGGTTCCCTGGTGAGGTTATATGTAAATTTGTAAAATGGGCACTTCTTAAGAAGTGGGAGTCCAGTCTTAAGGTACGGGAGTCTAGTGCTGACTAATGGACAACCCACAATATCTAAGCAACTTGGCAGAAAGAATTCGTCAGAGGTGAAATTCTATAATTTGAACTTAGGGGTGCCTTTCCTCAGAGGAACTCAAAATGCTTTGAAGCACACATTTGGTTTTGAAGATTTCTTTCTGGATGGGCTTGGAAATTGGGAGAAGATTAATATTTTGATCATAAAAGTCACTTGAAATCCCACATTGTCCTTTGTGGATTATCTGCCCCCTCCACCACTCCCACTGTTACACAACTGAATTTTGACCCATGGGACCTACCAAGATGGTCCAGTGTGGGTCCTGGATGAATGTGTATTGGTAGTGCCTGGGTAGGCAGGTTGTGTTTCCAAACCCTCCTTTTCATGTATCTGAGGTTTCTAACACTGGAGTCCATTCTTTAAAGGATGAATATGTTGTCACAATTGCTTCCTGAAATTTTGGGACAGATCCTAAAATTGGACTTTCAGTTTATCTGTGGATCACGCCCTTAATTCTAGTGATTACCATTAAGTGATTTGTGGGCCACTTTTATTAAAGGACCAGGTATAATTTTAGGATTGAAAAACTGAGAGTTTGAAAGAAATACCAGAGTGATATTTACATGCAAAACAGGTAAACATTTATATGTTACAAAACTTAAATGAGTAGATGAATTTATTAGGCATAAATAGGTTCAGAAGGAAAATGTAAACATAGCAATAGCAAGAATATCTACTATTCTAGAGTATATGCCTCTTTTCTTAATTTGTTCAACATAAATTTGTTCTGACTTATTATTATTATTTTTTGTACCAGGTATTGAATCCAGAAGCTCTCAACTACTGAGCCAGAGCCACATCTCCAGCCCTTTAATTTTTATTTTGAGACAGGATCTCACTAAGTCACTCAGGTCCTTGGTAAGTTGCTGAGGCTGGCTTTGAGCTCGTGATCCTCCTGCCTCAGACTCCTGAGCAGCTGGGGTTGCAGGCAGGTGCCTGACTTACCTTTTTAGACAGTTTAAACTGTCAACCAGAAGAGATGAGGGAAGAGAGTCTTTCAGAAATAGAGGAAACTCACCTGTTGAATGTTAATTAGAGGTTAGGAAGGTGATTCTGACAAATACCCACTGACATAAGCACATGGAGGTGGTAATGGGGACATTATTGAGTGATTCTTTTGTGAAGAGCAGACACTGTAGTTGGAGGACGCAGAAATGTGAGAGAAGTCAGCAAAGGCAGGCTTTTAGCATTTGGGAGAATCAGTAGATGGGGGAGTGGGGATAAATTGGGTCTGATTTGTTTTGGGAGTATATTAAAAGGTCAATGTCAAGGAGCTAGTAGAGAGAGAGAGAGAGAGTTGGAATTCAAGGGAGAGAAGATAATTGATAATATGAGAGGTGGGGGAGAAATGAGAGTCAGCCCACAGATGAAAGATGACAATTTTGAAAGGAGAAAGGATGAATAAGGATGAGGACACATGTTGGCAGGGCTGGGATTTGGTGATTGGAAATCATGGGATTCTCATAAGGGGGACTCTATTTTTCCTTCTCTAACAGTTATGAAGACGTGTGAGTAGAATGGGAAGGTAGTTGGCAATAGGTTGAGAGGGCTGGAGAAGGTAGAAACAATTACTGCGAAATGTAGGAAGACAGATTTTCCCAGAGAAACACAGTATTATTTTCAGGCAGTGTTGAAGTTCAAATAAAGTTAGTGATCGTAAACTTGGGATGGACCTAATTGGCTTGAGTGTGTGATTTTCTTCAGCAGGGCTCAGCCACCTAAGTGTATGCATAGCAAGTGAGAATATGTCATCATTGATCACTGAGTTTGGGGATGTATGAGGGAGCTGCATCTGCTCATTCATTTCTATTACAAAATATAGATCTTCTTTCTGGCTTGGCAGAAAAACTCAAAAGACTCCTACGTGAACCTGGTTCAAATCTTCATTCTTACTGACCTTCAAACAGAACAGACTTGTGACCTGATTGAGCTTCTTAAATACAGAAGAGATGATGGAGAGAAATTATAGATTTCCATGATAAGAAACTCAGGGGAGATAAAAATAGCTGAAGAAGCAAGCTGGAGGGAGTATATGATTTGGTTGTAGGGAGGTCCCCCTGAATTCATCATCTTATTGGAGAAGATTCGGGTAATGATAAGGACTTAGGTGTGACATATGTGAGTGGGTTTATTATTATGATCTCAAAGAATGCTTCTAAAATTTTCTTGGGATATCAAAGGTCCAATAAAGCCACAGTAGGTTGCTTTTCAACATGATTTCAGTTCCTGCTCTCCCAGCTCCCACAGCAAGAGGAGGTTCTTTCCTTAGCCTAGGCTGGCCTCAGAACTTGCTTTGGCCAGTAGAGTGTGGACTCAAGAGACTATGTATGTGCTTGATTATTCTAGTGCTCCCCTGCTTTTCCATGGCCAAGCCAGCTGGGTGATGAAAGACAGGTTGCCTAGTTACCCCCTTGGCCCCAGCCAATGGTCATACGTGTGAGCTAGCCCAGGGAGGATCAGAACCATCCAGTTGAGTTCAGGTTAGCTAAACAGCTGGTAAAATTGCTTCCTAGGTTAAATAACTGGCCTGTAGACTTGGAGAACTAAATAAATTATTAGACAGTTATTGCATTAACTGTCTAATCTTTGGGATGATTCTTTATGGAACAATAGTTTACTGATACAACAGCCAAAGTAATTTTTAAAGAAAAAGCAAATTAGAGGGATTTGCCGTATGAGATATTAATATTTCTAATAGAGCTTTAATAATTAGGGCATTATAAGGGCTGGGATTGTGGCTCAGTGGTAGAGCACTCATCTCACATGTGTGAGACCCTGGGATTGATCCTCAGCACCACATAATGATAAATAAAATATTCATGTTCATCTATAACTATAAAAAATTAAAAAAAATAATTAGGGCACTATAGATAGATATGGACAAATAGACTGATGGGTAAGACCAGAGAGTCCAGAAACAAATGTATGCAAATAAGAAAACCAGATATATGAAATAGTGGGATATTACAAACCAGGTGTGGTAGTAGAACAATTGGTTATAAAAATGAAAAATTTTAGTTTCTACCACTCACAAAATCTAAATTTAAAACTTTTACAGAAAATACAAGAGAATCAAATTTTTTTTTTAAATTTTAGGGTAATATTTTTGAAACACAAAAAGCAAACACTAGAAATTGGGAAGATGGCAGAACAGAGGAGACTGCTTTTCTGGCTGCTCCATGGTGTAAAATGAAGAAAGCAGATAGACAGCTTCTCAGTCAGGTGGGTGAAAAAAGGGGGGGACTTTTCTGGGAATTAATCCTGGACGTTCAAAGCAGATTGGGAGCTCAGGAGGTTGGATATAATAAAATAAGAACAAAGTCCTGCCATCACTGCCATCACCAGTACCAGCCAGAGCTGTTTCCACCCCATCCCCAGCAAACAAAGTGGAGGGATAAGGGAATTAAAGGAACCAGCATTTTTAGGAGGCTTGTGGTAGGTCTGGTGGGTGCAGTGAGATCAGAGATCAAAGTCAGTGCTGGATTAACCTGACAGGCAGGCTGCACAATATCCTCGTGTGGGAAAGAAGCTGCATCTCTCCCAGCTGTCCATGGAGAACAGAGGAAGAAGCCACTTTGTAGCCACACAGTCGGGGCCAGCAGCTGTGGGAGCTGATTCCTGCAAACTTGAGCTTGGTCCGAAATACAGGCCTGACAAACTCACATCTCACAACACAGAGTGTGCCTAAGTGACAGGGCGAAAATCAGAGGAGGAGAGGGGTTCACAAAGGGGAATATGGGTCATGGAAAACCACCTGCTCTACACAAACAGCATGCTAAAGCAAGGAAAAAAACTTCCCCAAACAAACCAAAATGCTTCAATAATCCATTGACACCACAGTGGAGAAAATGTCAAAGAAGCTTAGAAAGTTCATAGTTAAAATGATCTTTGATAAGATACATTTTACTGTCATGTATATCTAAACAGAAACAAATAATTTAAATAAAACTGACCTGCAAGGTAAAGGAGAATGTAAAGAGTGAAATCAGAGAGAAAATACAGAAAGTGAAAGATTAGTTCAATAAAGAGATAGAGATTCCGAAAAAAATCAAGCAGAAATCCTTGAAATGAAGAAATCAATAAGCCAACTTAAAAATATAGTGGACAG